GACTGATGAGATATTATTTAAAATAAAAAAAATTTGGAAGACCCCCTTTGTTGGCTTAAAGATTTTCAGAGACCCCCCTTGCTAGAATCTTATATTTATAGACACCCCCCCTATCCAACCACCTGGCATTTTGAGACTAATTTTACTATTTTTTAATGAAAATATTACTATATAATAGTAGAGTGTCACTGCATGATTTAAAAAAGTCAACATCGCAAATGCAAGTGTCATTATTAATATATAGAAAGATTTGTTTGCCATGAGAGAATACAATGTATACAATTGAATTTATGAAGTATACAAAAAATGTAATATATAAGATGCAGACTTCCTATTAGTACTGTATTTTTCATACAAGTTTTTCCTATTTGACACATCAAGTGAATTCACTGGTATATGCCCTAATAACGTCTTTATACACCTGTCAGAATTCAGACTTCAACACACGCTATTATGTTTTGCAAAAGTCCCGGGGGGTCTCCCTTATAAACGTTGGTAGGTATACTCGACGGACGGATTGAAAAATGATCCTAAAATAAAAAGTACACATAAATTAATTCAGGCATCGATTCCACACCCTAAAAGGTACGACCATTTTTGAAGTCTTTAACAAGAGAAAAGCTCATGTTTAAGTGGCTGTAGAAAATCAATGTCGATAGATTGTTGAGGTTAGATTTGATTCTTTTATAACACTTCAATTTTTTTCCCCGTTGTTCTGAAATTGACCCTAAAAGGTACGGAGTCAGCTCAGGACCCTAAAAGGCAAGCGAGGGTTTTATTTTCGAGACTAAAAAGGTCCATCTAGCATACCTACCAACTTTTATAAGGGAATATATGCATGGAATTAACACTCAATTAAAGCTAGTCAGGCCCGTAGGCTGCCTTACAAATGGGGGTTTCGTTTTTCATAATGCGTACCTAAACTCAATTAGTCCTATGCACAGTTATAGTGTGTAAGAACTGGCTGCTAGAATGAACAGTTCATAACAAAATACTATCCCAAAAACAGTTCATAACAAAAGAATTTTAGAATAGAACAATAAAAAAGAGATACACCGGACCTTTTAAGCTTTTTCGGATGGTTCGGCCTGCTAATCAGGTTTTGAACCGCCCGTCGATGGTTAATAACTTCTCTAGTCGATAGAGTCTAGTGCCCGTTCCAAGCAGTCACTGTACATAAATCCCTTTGGTGAAATTGGGGCTGATACTCTCGTTCTATTGCGGCTGTTTTTTTTTTTTTTTTTTGCATAAGAGATTTGATATTGACAAGGATTCGTAATTAATTAGATTTTTTCCCCCTTTTTTATCCCTGACTTATCAGATCAACTACTAACGTGGACTGAATGTAACAAAACTACGGCATTCACATCGTTTTATTGCCAGTACATCCAGAACTTATTTAGCTATTTTTTTTTACCTCTGTTTGAATAGTGATATATATAAGAAAGCGTCATTTCTTAGCCATTTTATTTACACTGCCCGACAGAAACGGAAATTTTGAAACAAGTTTGTAAATGCAAAAACTGTCAACAATTGAACATTTGCTAAATGTACGGTTTATTCTAATTATCAACGATGAGCGAATTCGAATCATGATGATCAAACCTGGTTTTCAATGCCCAAGGTGAACATAACCTGGTATAATAAAAGGTGTATTCGTCCTTACTTGCGGAAAAGAGTAATGGAAGTAGGCATAATATAAGAAGAATAACTGAATTGTGGATTGTCTTTTATATTTCTGTGCATTTGTTCTGACTACAAATAGGTTAAGAGTCATGTCAGCGCCTATGCAAAAGTCAAATTAGGACCTAAAGTCGAAAGGCTCGCCCGTAGCTCGCATTACAGCACTGTCTAGTTGAACCACACCACATTCACTTTCATCATTATTTCTATAAGTATGGTCTGAGGCATCGGGACGCCGAAGGAACCTTGCTGCACTGGATCTTAAAGGTGCACTTTCTCGTTTACCGAGGAAAACCCGAAGARACCCATCACGAAATGATTTGATGAGGAAAAAGTATATGAAAGGATTGACTGCAGAATTCAAAGAAACCGACAAAGCAATACATCGGCGCAACAAATCATACCTCACTGAAGAACCTACAAAAAATCCAAAAATCTCGTCAAAACCATAAATAGTGTGTGGAACTCCACAGAACATATAAAATATACAAGTCACTATAATGGCTACTTTTAAAACTCTTTTTCGGACTTTTATGCGGGCCCTGTGAGCTTCTAGTTGACTTGCAAGTACTTGGTCAGGTCTTCTTAAGGCGATAATTGCACGACTATAGAAGATAATCATAGCAATTGAAGGGATTACATGCATCCCAATGGTATACACCACAAAGTAGGCCTTTCGGTTTAGCCATGGGTAATGTCTCTCAGTGCAAATACCCTCTTTGCTGTCGTACTGAGCRTCAACTATGTCAACGACATAAAATATAAATCCTGACAACCAAGAAAAAGGTAAAATCCATTTTAGCCTAGCTTTGGTTCCTCCATCAAATGCGGAAAGGGGATGGACTATGGCTTTGTATCKTTCGAATGCCATTACGGTTAATAATAAAGGTGAAATAACTCCGCCAAACCAATAAGCACTTTCAATTCTACAAAGTACTTCAGCTAAAATGTTGCTCTGATTATATGCCTGTTGGAGCACCGGTGGACCGAGGACGCCTTTATTGTCATTTGTAATAGCATAGAATATTGCAAAGAAACCAGTCATGGCGTCAAGTATGGCAAGGTTTAGTATGATGTAACTCATTGACGTCTTCATGGATTTTACTTTGACGATGATATGACAAACCAAGGCATTTCCTATAATGCAGATCACACCAATGAATATCTCTGAAATGTGGAGTACATAGAGCGTTGTGTCATCCATGTTTTCAGCCATTTTTTTTTTCTCAATATTCTTAGACATAGTCTTGATGGGCAAAYGCGACTGGACGATTTCAAAATAATGACTCAGTTTATGTAGCGGAAGGAAATTAACGAGTTGACATCATTAGGAATTAACTCTTTTCCCGAATCGATACAAAAAAACTGCTAAGCGTTTAAAGACAGCTGAATTCTGCGATGTATAATAATATTAGCTTTAATAGAGGTAGTAATTAAATATTTGCTATTGCATCTCTTGCATATATCATGACTGCTGGCTATGACCTCTAAATTACATCAAAATATAGAACTTCTCTTCAATGTTTCTTTAAATCATTTCAGCTGATAGTTTGAGATTTTGTAGTCATGTATTCAGCGCTGGAAGACGGTAACACTCTACAGGGGTTTACTGTCTGTTATATATCTTAAAATTTGAGCGGGAGGCCTTTATGTAAGCTTTACACGAATATTCTATATTGCTTATCAAATCCCAAACATAAACTCAGTAAGCATATTTTCCTAAAAACGTCATGATAATATATCATTATTAATCATTCGAGAAAATCGAAGTTAAAGTCGTATGCAAATCAGGACAAATCTCTTGCTCATATAAAGATGACTTCACGGCAATTATTTTCCATTGAGTTAACTTTTGGTATTAGATTATATTTAAGAAATTCTTTTCGGCATATTTTTGTATTCAAAAATTATAATCCCTTCTTATAAACGAAAGGAAAAGACAGAAAAAAATATTTGCCGGATTTTTTGAAGCATGTTTGTTTTATAAATACAAAAGGTATTGATTTAAGATCTTGAGACGTCTGAGCATTCGTTTTCATATTCATGTCAATAAGTATTGTTGCTGCTAGACTGATCAGTCATAACAAGATCCTACATTATAGGTATCATTGTATATACTWCCTGGGTCTTATTTCAACGCCCAAAGACATGATGCAATGTGAAATCTTTCTCTCAACAGACTGAAAGGAAGCATTTCTAAATCAAACTAATTTTTTTTAAATGTACTTTTGTCAATTCGTATGATCATACTATAGTTCCAGGAAACGCCATGAATTGGTAGAATGGATCGATAATTTTTTCTTTTAACAATTTTGTTCGTCATAACACTTACTTTGAATATATTYATAGACCTAATCAGTTAACGCGTCGCTATAAACGTGAGAAATGGGAAAAATCTACATGACGTTTTCATAATAAAGCGACTCTCTCAATAGGAATAAGAATTGTTTTTTATTTGCCATTCTCATCTTTCCAATTTCTTTAAAAGATTTTTCAACTTTAAGAAAACGAGYCCCATGCAGCGAATTGTGGCAGTAAGTGTTAAAACTGGTGCATTTCCATACGCTCCTGCAAACGAGTTTTATCGCCGTCGAAGTCAAACGCCACTAATATCATATATCTTTGAAGTTGATCGCTGGCCGGAAAACTTTGTCACGGCAGCATTCAGACATAGCGATTTAAGATGTCGTTTGTATCTGAAGTGTGTATTTCCCATATTTGGTATATGATTTTTAGTTTGTGATTATGTTTTGAGCCGTATATTTGTGGTAATAGTCATGGATGTCCTGAGCAAAGTTTGGTAAAGAAGAAGAAACGAAGAAACCTATTTCAAACAAAAAAAAGTTTGGTTTAAGATGATGAAGGGGATATTTTTCTAAGTAGCAAAAGAACGCTATACTGCAATATCGATTATTCAAGGTGTTCCAATCTAACATCTGTTGTTTCTCGAGCTAAATGTTGTAAGTCGAAGTAAAAYTTTAATTAAAACTGATGTAAAGATGTATTTGAAATTACGATAAATTGTTCCTTTCCTACAGACATGCACTTGTATGAAAATTGTTGCTACTGAATGCGTAGTAAATAAACAACATGCTTTGCAGCAGAAATTCAATTTAAAAAAGTTGTGTGTCTTGCGTTTTTTTTTTCTATAAAGATATAATACATGTTGGCTTGTCTTTCTGAGGAGACGTTTAGTTAGCTCATCTAAGTGTACTGATTGAAAGCTTAAAGGTTAGCTCTTTAGAATTATTCTCCAGGATCAAAATTACTACAAAAATCGCCGCAAAAATCACCATTGCTATTTTGGAAAGTCACCATTCATAAGAAACATCGTTCAAAAACGCCAYTTTGTACTGAAATTGACCTCGCCATTTCAGTAGTTCATCCAAGATGCAGAATTGTTTCATTCAGTAACGATAAGTGATTATCCATAACCCACATTTGCAATGCTATATTAAGTTATTCATATTCGATATATATTTTTTCAAACATAAAATAGTGGGGTTTGTTACAAAGGATCCTTGATTCTATCTGTTAGTCGAATAATTGTACGTATACAGATCTGTAACTGTCATATGCCATGAAATATCTATCTACCCGTATCAGAATGCAGAGRATTAAGAACGAGTTATCATTTAACAACAATTTATTAAGTGTATGGTTTACCAGAACGAAATAAAAAAAATGAAACAATGAAAATTTATATATCCAAGTTTTTCTCCTTTTATACAGTACAATAATTACCAGGATTGTCTTYTTCAYGATTCCCTCTGCCAACTTGAAAGGTAGCAGTGCACTGATAGATACCAGTGAATATTTGCTTGTATGTATGAAAGATGGTCTCTATCATTGCACGTTCATCTCGCTTCAATACAAAGGAACGGCTAAGACTATTGTGAGGAATTGGACCGTCGCCAGCAGCGCATAAGAATCACAGCAATCAAGGATTTTCACTTRCAAAGTGATCGTACAAATCTGAAGAACGGTTTTCTTATCTTTGTSCTGAAAGTTCTATTAGCTTTCATGGTCAAGTYTGAAATAAAACTRTGTGTTGYTTGTAACTCGTACAGCAAGAAGGTGTGGCTGTTCTGGGCAGCCATCAGCTACATTTGTGCGCTCRAAAGATATAGAACGCTGAGAAAACGAGACTGCGCTGAAACATGAACGCTGAATTYCATCTTTATAGCAAAAAACACGGCGAAAACCATCGCGGAATGATTTTATAAAAAKAAAATATAYGAAAGGATTGATTGCGGAGTGAAAGGTAATAGCTACAGCAGTACTTTCCCACAGCACATCATTCCTCAAAACAGCAAAAAATCCAAATAATTCGTTTAAGCCAAAAAGAGTGTGTGGAATTCCGCAGCAAATGTAAAAGATTAAAGCCACTAAAATGGCTACCTTTAAAGCTCTTTTTCGTGCTTTTGTTCTGGATCTGTGTCCATCAATTTGACCCGAAAGTGCTTGCCCAGGACTTCTTAGCGCAAAGATTGCACGACTATAGAAAATGATCATAGCAATGGAGGGAATGAGGTACATCCCAATGGCATACACCATAAAGTAAGATTTGATATTAAACCACGGGTGCACTCTGGTTGTGCAAATGCCATTTTTGAAGTCATATTGAACAGTTACCATGTCAACGACATAAAAACCAAACCCTGAGAGCCAAGAAATAAGTAAAATCCATTT